ATTTTCGTACGACTTAACAATTTTTCAAGATTTTCAATCGTAAAAAAATATGACAAAACGAACAGTGGAAATTGGAACTAATTAATTCGATTTAACATGATACGTTTTTTTATAGCAATTACCAAAAAACGTTTCTGTATTTTCATTGTTAACAGAATTGATCTTTATTGCATGCAAGCTTTACAACTTGTATGTATTCTTTTTCCCTTTCTTCTGCACTGTCTTATTAATCTCGGCAGCACTGGGCAACACCTCAGCCGATTCGTACTTCATCTACATATCACAAAGGTGATGGAATCAGTCAAGGTTTGCCGAATGATCTCAGCAGCAGAGTTGAAGTTTACGGAGACAGCCAAGCTCATGTCCCTAGGAAGCAAATTCAGTTTGGGGGGGCACAGCCATACATTTTCAGTAGACAGTTGAGGGGGCACTACAAAAAAATTTTCTGACAAGCAAAAAAAAAAAGGTCATCATGTCTATTGAGGGGGGAAGCATATAGTATCTATGTTTCCTATAGTAATCTATACATCAGCAAAATTATTGGGGGGCATGCCCCCCCCCCTTTCCGGTTCCTACAGCCATGGAGCAACTGTTAACTTTTCCCTTGGTAGAGCTTATGTCAGAAAAAAACTAATGAAGAAATACAATTATACAGTCTGATAGGTTTAGGTCAGTTTACTGTTTAAAGTTGTTGCTAAAGATGGTAAGCTTTTTGAAAAAGCTCTACTTGTAGTTTAAATGATCAGTAGACTTGTAAGTAATAGATAAATAAAAATGAGACAAAAATAACTTGTCCTATTCAATGTTCATCAAAGACCAAGAGAGTCCAATGTAAGAGATTTCATCAAGGAATTAAAATAGTGCAGAATCACTGATAATGTGTTAATATACTGTATGGTGATAGTGATAAATGGGGAACAGATTAGAACCTAATTTATGAACTGTTAATGAACAGTAGACTAATTATTTCGTTGATCCTGATCACCCTATTTTTATTGCTTTTGGGCAACAAAGCTTCACCTTTCAGTTCATTTTATACTCTATGGATCCTCTAAATTGTTGTATTATACTCAGGTGACCATTAAGGCCCTTGGGACTCTTGTTTAAAGATGGCCTCAGTCGATTCATTTTTAAAATCTTAGAAAAATATACATGATAATGATTGATTGATAATGCATGGATTAGAAAATACAGTAGAATTTTTTTCTACCTGCAAACCCAATTCTCTTTATCCAAAAATGCCAGAATTTTCTCATCAACAACTAGTATTTTGATTTTATTAATACATCTGCATCTATACTTATAAATTAAAAAAATTCTGCAAATATAAACTGCGAAACCCCTGCACCAGAGTTAATACTTACACCTCTAATATCACATTTTGCGTAAAATGATGTACTACATATTAAACTGTATTTAGATTTCATTCAAATAGCAATTATCATAAATTTAATTAAAATTCTACTTTCGTTTTCGATAAACAGCCATAAAATAGCAAAAAAAAAGCTGAGTATGATGGTGTTTACGATTGGCAAATCCAAGATTACAATATTTCATGAAACTGACGACAAGCAATTGTTTAATTATTTGAGAAAACATCATTATTGAATTATTCAATCAAATGTTGATTTTTAAAAGTGATATGGAAGAAAGAAGTTGTGATTACTGATTTAAAAAATTTGCGAATTGTCTTCATCAGTCATGATCTTATCACAAAAAATCATCTACAGTACTAACTGCAGGATTTTTAACAAAGAATTGCTTCCTGCTATAAGACTGTTAAATTAGCCTGTCAGAAGAAACTATCAGATCTAATATATTGGAATTATTCCATCACCATATGCAGTGGGAAAAATTCAATTCCCCACGCTTGCGTGAGATTTCATTTCAATTATTAAAAATTTTTCCTAGCTACTTTCCCAATTTTTTTTTTATCCAGAGTCGGCAAGCAAACTTTTTCAAAATGTTTGAAAAATATACTCCTTAATGATCAATTGACAATGCATGGTTTTAACATAAAATTGAACTTCGGTATCTCAGACATTGATATCTGATATACCATGGAATGTCTGTATGTAAAAGAGATCTAGAAGTCCCAAACATTTCCTTTATCTATGCATTTAATTTATTTTATCCATGTCTTTAATTCTGTGATATATTTTGAATTTTTTTCTGCCATTAATTTGTACATGGTGAGGTTTGATTGTGTAATATTACACTTACAATCATAATTCCATTGAAAGTTAATTTATTTTAGTGACAGATTTAATATTATAACTCTTCTATGTTTGTCAGCCCCAGAAATCTTTGCCTGTGCTTTGGATGAGTGCCCTGGTTACAGCTTCGCGGTCGACTGGTGGTCACTAGGGGTGTGTGCCTATGAGATGTTGAGGGGAAGGGTAGGTAAAATGGGAAAATAGCTATCCCAGCATGCAAATTCATTACAGCAGTTTTCTTTTGTTTATGAAGTGATTGCCATTTGTTTTATTTTTTCCAGACCTGTATCATTTCAGAAAATTTATACATTTGAATAGACTTTTCATTTGAATTTAATATCTGATGGTGGAGGGGGGTGTGGGGGTGAGATCATCAATTATATTCTTCATAATTTTGAGAATGTTATTCAGAAAATAAAGAGCAGGAGCCACTTAGGGCCTTTTGTGGCCCTAAGAATTTCTGAAAAATCGAAACTGCTCAGTTTTGGTTGAAAATGCAGTATTTATAACTTGGACCCTTGGTGACCGTGTATCTATTGAACATGACGTAATTTTCTCTCTAGTCATTGCATTATGACGTCGTAAAATGCGTCATTTTTCCCATATCCTGTAAATTTCCTTAAATCACAAAACATGTTTTAATTAGCTCACCTGAGCTGAAGGCTCACGTGAGCTTTTCTGATCACATTTTGTCTGTAGTTCGTCTGTCAGTCCATCCATCTGTCCGTCTGTAAACTTTTCACATTTTCAACTTCTTCTCCAGAACCACTGGGCCAATTTCAACCAAACTTGCCACAAAGTATCCTTGGGTAAAGGGGATTCAAGTTTGATCAAATGAAGGGCCACACCTTTTTCCAAGGGGAGATAATTAAGAATTCTTGAAAAATTAATGGCATCATTAAAAAATCTTCTTCTCAAGAACCACTGTGCTTGAAAACATGAAACTTATGTGGAAGCATCCTCAGATAGTGTAGATTCAAGTTTGTTCAAATCATGACCCCTGGGGGTCGGATGGGGCCACAATGGGCGATCAAAGTTATACATAGGAAATATATAGGAAAAATCTTTAAAAATCTTCTTCTCAAGAACAGCAAAGCCATGATTGGTCATATTTATATGGTAGCATCCTCAGATAGTGTAGATTCAAATTTGTTCAAATCATGACCCCCGGGGGTCGGGTGGGGCCACAATGGGCGATCAAAGTTTTACATAGGAATATACAGGAAAAATCTTTAAAAATCTTCTTCTCAAGAACAGCAAAGCCATGATTGGTCATATTTATATGGAAGCATCCTTAGATAGTGTACATTCAAATTTGTTCAAATCATGACCCCTGGGGTTTGGGTGGGGCCACAATGGGCGATCAAAGTTTTACATAGGAATATATAAGAAAAATCTTAAAAAATCTTTTTCTCAAGAACAGCAAAGCCATAATTGGTCATATTTACATGGAAGCATCCTCAGGTAGTGTAGATTCAATTTTCTTCAAATCATGACCCCCGGGGGTCGGGTGGGGCCACAATGGGCGATCAAAGTTTTACATAGGAATACATAGGTTAAATCTTTAAAAATCTTCTACTCAAGAACAGCAAAGCCATGATTGGTCATATTTAAATGGAAGCATCCTCAGATAATGTAGATTCAAATTTGTTCAATTCATGACACCCCCCCCCCCCAAACCACTTTTATATTTAAACTTTTCAACCTTTCAAGACTGAAGTGATTTCTGCTTTTTCCTAGCCATAGTGCTCAGGTGAGCGATGTGGCCCCTGGGCCTCTTGTTTTTGGATTGTGGGCTGTATTCATATTTTAATTCTTTGCTGAATGTATAGTCAAATACGCATGTTTTCTGCAAAATTCAAGTACATTGCATTTTCTCAAAACCTGTTTTCCAATACCCGGATTCTCAAAAAGAAATTTTGTTATAGGAAATGAAAGCACTAATTCTCTACTTTATTTTGATATGGGACAGAGGGTGATAGTCAATTAATTGATATACATGTAAGGACAGGGTCATTTTATGCATAAAGTGAACCTTGCTCTTTATACTGATTACAGATATTTCTTTTCATGCAAAAAGAGATTGTCATATCTTTTGTAGATGCAGAAATTTTTTTGAAAATATTTTGAGAATTTGGAAATATATTTACATGTATTACCTGTTAGTGTAATAAGATAAACCTTGGGGAAGTGGCTTTATATTGCAAAATAATATTTAGATTCTTTGATTTATTGATTTTCAACAAAAAATTAATTGTAGCAATTAATGGGAAAATGAAACAATAAATTATACACTTCATCAATAAATCATCTCATTATTTTCAAGGAAATGGAAACTTTAAACCATACTGAGTCTCATTAAAGTTTAATGACATAACTGATAATCCTAAAAGTTCATGTAGTGCAATCTTAGATTGTACAATGTAATATACATTTATTAATATATAGGTATATATTAAATACACTTCAAAGTTTCATGTGCAACATTTATAGATTTATAAATACTTGTTTGGAGGGTGGGGTGGGGTTGGGTTTGGGGGTAGGAATTGCAGACTGATTTATTTTGTAAGTGAGAAGTCCCACTATTTGCCTGATAATGATATGAGGATGTGTCACAACTGAAAGCCAAGGTCATTCAGACAAGGTCAAGATCACAGGGATCAAATGTATGAAATTCTTGTCTGAGCCACAGATTTGTTATGTAGAAATTGCAGAAGCTCTTACTCTAAACAAAGGTCAGGTTTGATTGCCATTGGCCAGATAGCTCAGTTGGTAGCACCTGCCTAGTGACTGAAGGGCCTGGGTTTGAATCCTGGTCTGGTCTGACACATTTTTCTCCCTTTCCAATTACATTTGGTGCCATGCCCTGGAAGTAACAAGTGAAAGACCTACCAGGGAAGAGTCTGGGTAGGTGTTTTCAGGGTGAAGACCATTAAGGAGGGAGGAATGTGGCAGTCAGACGAGTGTGATCGCCGGTGGCTATGAACAAGGGCACCAGAAAGCGGAATATCCCCTTATACATGTATCTATAAATCAAGGCAGCATTCAACATCGATCCCAATGCAAATGATGTCACTTTCATTATGCACACAAGGACAAATTAACCCACCTACCCACACAATTGCTTTACTATATCCCCTCCAACTCCATTGCGAGGGGATAGTAAAAGGTGTGTGGATACCATAGTTGAACAATTGTACCCCATGATTTGGTGTATTATTATGTTTTACATGCGATTGTGATTGTGATTTTGCTCAGAAGGGGTAGTAGTCCCCTTAATTGCATCATAGATAATATTAGCTTACACTGTAAGAGAAAACACTTTTATTAGCCTACGTGCTTACTGGTACTTTCCATGGAATATTGTTTGCTATTTATTCTTAAAACACTGTTTTATGTGAGTAAGACTTAGTTAAGAAAAGATAATTATAATAATTTGATTTTTGCTCCTTGGAGAAAGATAAAAACAACTTTCTCTTGTGATGGACAGAGATGAAGTTCATTAGCAGGCTAAAGGAAAGAGACACTTCATGTCATCTAATCGAGGTCCTTTCGCACGACAGCCTCTTAAAGATTACGACACATTGATTAGAGACTAGTTTTCTGAGCATAGATATAAACTGGAAAGGAAATGTTTAAAACTTCTGCCTTCTGTTCTCTGGTCATTATTGATGGGGAAATTATTTGAAGAGTTCTTGGTTAACGATGAGATAGTGCTGGAATTGTTTGCATCTTTATTTGACTTACAAATGGCCCTGTTAATTAATGAGCATGATTTACAGTCTTGTATTGGGGTAAGCAAGGGTCATAGGGAAAGACTAAATTAAGTTAGGTGATTGGGAAGGGGGGGGGGTAAAAAAAATTGGAGGGATGCGAAAGGGGGCTGAAGAAAACTATAGTAAGACATGCTGAGGTCATTAAGGGGAGATTTGGGATCTGGGGTGAAGAAAGCAAGGAAAGGACATCATGGAAACATAGAACAGGTGGGGTGGGTTCTAAATGGGTAGTAGAATTATAAAAGGTTGTGGAAATGGTAATGAAGAGGGAAATATGAATGAGTAGTATTCATTTTGAGTGTATTTTATAATCAATGTTGAGCTAGAAGTAGTTCTGATTGAAATGTGTACCAAAGATTTAAATATACCCACAAAGACACGGAGTTTAGTTTTTAATTAAATGCAAGTTACTGCAAATTAAATTTGAACCAAATTCACACAGAGAATCTAATGTGATGTAGTTTAATTTGAATTAATTAACTGCACATCAGATTGCTTTGCAATGACTCTGTGTGAACCCTAATTAAGTGAAGCTTATTTGAATAAAGTTATGACACATGTAATCACAAAATTAACCCATCTGCCACATTTATCAGTACTTAATTATGCCATTTTTGAGTGAAAAACAAAGAAAAATCAATAAAATTTCACAGGGGAGTCGAACTTGAAAATTGAATATTAAATTACTTTAACTTGTTCCTAATGGTGCTTTTAGGGTATATTGTAATTAATTTATTGAGACTTTTGTAGTCTTTATCTGTAACTGTATCAGTTATAATACAGGGCTGTATGTCAGTACTATTTTTCATATATATACATAATTCATATCCTCAGAGAATAATGTAATGCTTAATTTTATCTTTGGAGATTATAATTATATCAGAGTGAAAAATTGCTGTTCATTCATGTCTTTCCTACAAACTGTTGCTTTAATTTGTTCTAATGGTCATAGCAATCATCCAATGTCATTTGTGCAAGGTCAATGTTTTTAGTAGTTTGAATCAAAGCTATATAATTATTTACATTAATATGTAGAAGTTTTCCCTTAATATGTAACACTATATCAGCAATGCGTATCTATCACTGTATAAATACAGGTTCATCACATGACTACAAATTTGCTTTAATGTCATAAATGCTCTGCATAATTTCTCTGGAATAAAGGGCTGATAACAGGTATTCAAAGTAGTAAATTTATGCAGTTGAGGTTTGAAAAATAATACATTTCATGTGTTAAAGATTATAACCACACAAATATATATTGTATAACTTGGCTGTGTAGTTTGCGTAATACATAATTGTATCCCTGACCTGTGTATAAGTATCATCATGTTAAGATTCGTAATTTTATAGATTGACTAGTCCCCTTTAGTCTAGAGAATAACCGTGCCAATTAGAGTGCATCTGACGTGACTTTTTCTTGTTCTGTAATTAATGTCTTTATTGAATCCACACAAGCGTGTGGGTGTTGGATTATCATCATATCAAAACAAATTTATTGGATTTCTGATAGGGCTAGATGTTAGAAAACCCAAATGAGGCAACTTAAGCTAACGGTGATCATCAATTATTGACTCATATAGAAAGTTAATCATTTAGATATCGGCTGTGTCATTTAGGAATGATTGTAAAGAGTTTGCTCAATGTTTCTTGTTACTAGTAATTTTTTTTTTCTGATGACAGCTTGGGAGTTATGAGGTTAGCGTGATTCTCTTTTCCTGATCAGATAGAACTTTGTGGGTGTTTCTTCTGGGAATATGCATTCTATTACTAACTCTATCACATCTCTACAGCAAAATCAAATTTAAAAGTTCAGAATGAATGGTGGAATTTAGGGAGGTCACAATTAGATAGTTCATTTTTTTTGTCAAATGAAATTTATGACCAATATCAATACCAACCCCCAAACCTCCCCCCCCCCCCCCCAGTGTGGGATCACAGGAATATCTTTATAATTCTTCCTCTTATGAATAACAAAGCCATTATTAGTTATATTGATATGAAATATTTGGGACCAAAAATATCTTAATGAATAATAGCTTTTTGATATTTATTGTAGAGACCGTATGACATACACAACAGTACCTCAATCCTAGAGGCCAAACAGATGTTCACGACACTCAAAGTGCATTACTCCTCAAGCTGGCATAGTGGCTGTAAAGACCTTATCAAACAGGTATTGACTTATATACAGTAAGTCGAGAAAATCGTACGATCCACTAATTAGTCAAACATAACACAGATATTGAGGTCCACCTCTAACAACTGTAACAGTTATTAAAATGATTACACAGCATGCAAATATAATGACTTCTAACTGTAAACATTTGTAGCTCTTGTACCTCGATCCAGAGAAGAGAATCTCAACATTAGAGGCCTTGCAGAACCATAGCTTTATATCTGATGTGGACTTCGACCAGGTTCTGCACAGAAAAATCAAACCCCCCTTTGTGCCTTCTGTAAGTTATTTACTGAGGTGACAAAGTCGGAACAGGAGTCTCTAAGACTTTTTATACACATATGGCAGATTTTTTTCTGTCTTCAGGAATGGCAATGTCATAGCATCAGGGATATAGCAGAAACAGCCATATGTTTCCAGACAAAAAACAACAAAAATGTTCATATTATTACCAATTTCAAATGAGCTAACAAGAAAAAAAGTACCTTAGCAATTATTTGTTTTTTATTCTATATGAGTTAAACACATAGAAAGATTGAAAGGGTCATTAATCCATACTCATGAGTTTTTTTTTCAAATCTGCTGGTGTTCTAAAGCTTAATTTCAAATGTTAACATTGTCTACCCCCTTATAAAAAGAGTTGTTTTTAAGAGCAATTAACCACTAACTGGTATTAAAATTACTACCATAATCATTTACTGTTTAACTCCTCTTTGCATTCAAAAAGTTTGAATGGCCAAATTGTCATTTGTTTTGAAAGAAAAAGGTGTAAAATGTAGGCGGGAATCTCGAGTTAACGAGTGTACTGGGTAGTTCTTAAACCTTTTTCTACCAACACAAGCACACACATTATGCTTATTTTTACCCATCCAATAAATAAAAGTTTTCTGTGAATGTTACAGAAGGACCACCTTAACTGTGACCCCACATATGAACTTGAAGAAATGATCATCGAATCCAAACCACTTCACAAGAAGAAAAAAAGACTTGCCAAACAGAATTCCAAGAGAGAGCTGTCACGTCAGTCCTCTGTGGTAGGATCATTGTAGTCATTCCTCTGTGGTAGGATCATTGTAATCAGTCCTCTGTGGTAGGATCATTGTAGTCATTCCTCTGGTAGGATCATTGTAGTCATTCCTCTGGTAGGATCATTATAGTCAGTCCTCTGTGGTAGGATCATTGTAGTCATTCCTCTGGTAGGATCATTGTAGTCAGTCTTCTGTGGTAGGATCATTGTAGTCATTCCTCTGTGGTAGGATCATTGTAGTCAGTCTTCTGTGGTAGGATCATTGTAGTCATTCCTCTGTGGTAGGATCATTGTAGTCAGTCCTCTGGTAGGATCATTGTAGTCAGTCTTCTGTGGTAGGATCATTGTAGTCATTCCTCTGTGGTAGGATCATTGTAATCAGTCCTCTGTGGTAGGATCATTGTAGTCAGTCTTCTATGGTAGGATCATTGTAGTCATTCCTCTGTGGTAGGATCATTGTAGTCATTCTTCTGTGGTAGGATCATTGTTATCAGTCCTCTGTGGTAGGATCATTGTAGTCAGTCTTCTGTGGTAGGATCATTGTAGTCATTCCTCTGTGGTAGGATCATTGTAGTCAGTCTTCTGTGGTAGGATCATTGTAGTCATTCCTCTGTGGTAGGATCATTGTAGTCAGTCCTCTGGTAGGATCATTGTAGTCAGTCTTCTGTGGTAGGATCATTGTAATCAGTCCTCTGTGGTAGGATCATTGTAGTCATTCCTCTGTGGTAGGATCATTGTAGTCAGTCTTCTGTGGTAGGATCATTGTAGTCATTCCTCTGTGGTAGGATCATTGTAGTCAGTCCTCTGGTAGGATCATTGTAGTCAGTCTTCTGTGGTAGGATCATTGTAATCAGTCCTCTGTGGTAGGATCATTGTAGTCAGTCTTCTATGGTAGGATCATTGTAGTCATTCCTATGTGGTAGGATCATTGTAGTCAGTCTTCTGTGGTAGGATCATTGTAGTCATTCCTCTGTGGTAGGATCATTGTAGTCAGTCTTCTGTGGTAGGATCATTGTAGACAGTCCTCTGTGGAGGATCATTGTAGTCAGTCTTCTGTGGTAGGATCATTGTAGTCATTCCTCTGTGGTAGGATCATTGTAATCAGTCCTCTGTGGTAGGATCATTGTAGTCATTCCTCTGTGGTAGGATCATTGTAATCAGTCCTCTGTGGTAGGATCGTTGTAGTCATTCCTCTGGTAGGATCATTGTAGTCAGTCTTCTATGGTAGGATCTTTGTAATCAGTCCTCTGTGGTAGGATCATCGTAGTCATTCCTCTGTGGTAGGATCATTGTAGTCAGTCCTCTGTGGTAGGATCGTTGTAGTCAGTCTGGGTTTAAATGTTCTATGGATGAATGTGATTAATTGATGTTTAATTAGTTTCTGAAGACCATTTAAGTCTTTGATTGTACAATTTATCCAAATCAGTAAAAACACTTATAAACAGCTCAAAACAGAAAATTTATTGTCTTTTGACATCCAAGTCTTTGTTTGTAAAATTAAGCAGACTTGGTAAGCCAGGTTAGAATCATGTCTTTGATTTACAAATACTAATTTATAGTTTGTTTTTTTTTAATTATTATTGTAGGAAGGTGATCCTTCACAGGACATGGAGGAGAATATTTTTAAATATTTCAGAATCTTCAACAGAGAGAGGTAAGTGTTGGACCTGATGTACATTTTACATGGTATCCAGGATAAACAGACATTAAATATATTTATTACATGTAGAAACCCTCAGGATTCTATTGTAGTCAGACACATGAAATTTAAGTCATGCTGTCCATAGATTGTTGAAAATATAAAATACATAATAGTATAAGATCATTTACTGTATACAGGGTTATTTTTACCACATTGTTTTCACCCCTGGCACTTCCATTAAACAATTTTGCCCAGTTTTAAATTTGCCCAGACACAGTTTTATTTAACAGAAAATGCTGTCTTCTTTTGATTTGCTCAGTTTTAAATTGGCCAACTTGCAGCGGCCACAAAAGGGACAATAATAAAATGGGGGCAAAAATTTCACCGTTTACTGTATCTTCTTGGGGGCTAATTTGGGGGTATGGTTTTGTGGATACTTTCAGAAAGAGGCTCCTTAGGGTAACATTAAATGAATTCTCTGATTTTGAATATCTAGTATTTTTTGAGATTGAAGACCTAGGCAGAGGAACCCACAAAATCCGGGAAATTATAACCAAGTTTATTTACACCTATGAATAATTTTTGAAAAAAAATCAGCAAGTCTTGAACTCTGAAATAATTGCCTTGTAAACGATCATTGTATAGTTATGTACTCTGAATTAATTGTAGAGAATTACTTCTCCCAACAAAAGAACAAGAGGAAACACATCAGGATAAAGTCAATGAATGTTATGAATCTCAGGATGAGCTGGAAGCTCCAAGTGAAGACCCTAAACAGAAAATCACCAAACAAGTGACTTTTGACACCAGTGAACTGACAAGCAAGAAACCTATAGCTAGTATAGGTGCTAGTACGTCATTCAGCTGATGTACACAAACTGTCTGTGATTTACTCCCAGGTTTGTTGTGTTTTTGTGACACCCCCCTCCCTTTCCTGTCTCTAGGAAAGATGAAATGGGGTGCTAAATGACTTGACTGTTTTGATTTTAAAAAATTGAAAAAGTACTCTCCATTCATTTTAGCTAACAGTGTAATGGTAATTATGAGGCATCAGAAACTTAGTTTGTTATCATTCTTAAAACATTTTTTTTTACACATTTGATGTTTTGCTTGGAGAGATTTCCATTTATACTTAGCTCTTATGAGAATAGGTGTAGATCAAGTTAATTTTTATCAATACAAACAGCCGATATAAATTATGTGCTCGAACCAGTATACAACCTTTACTTTTATAATTAGGAATGAACTAATTATGAATTCTAGACTGTGTACACTGTTTGATGCCACAGTGTAGCTAATTTTTTTCCCCAACCAATTAAATAAATAGGTTCTTGATGTCCATGTTAATATGATGGAGGGTGTTGATAATGCTGTCTAGCTTATTTTAGCACAAATTTCATCAAATGAATGGTGTAAAAATAAAATGAAGAATGTTTGATGGTCATTCTTGAAGTTAATCTTTCTGTTGAAATGAATTCTAAAATATCCTAATGACTCTGAAAGCTAATTGTTTGTTGTTCAAGAATGTTAAAGTTTTTTTGATGTTTTTTTTTTTTATATGTCCCTCTAAGATATGTATCTTTTTTTTTCTGGATTCATAAACTAGAGGGAAGACTTCCATGTATTTTATTCATAGGTATGATACTTACTATTGGATTACCTCACGGTTATCTTACTTACTGAAGCTCTTTTGAAAGCTCTAAATCTTGCAAGATTTCCTTTGCATAGCATTGTTTGTAAACACACAACTGAAACAATCAAACAAATTGTATGGTAAAAGTACCATGTATTTCCAAGGGTTGAACTACAAATACATGAAGTAGTCTTTCTATGTTTAGAGTAATATTTATTAGGAACCAAAAGTAATGAATATTGGAGAGAAAGGGTTTTAGAAGAGTTAGATTAGTGAAAAGTTTCATTTAAAAAATGTAACACATGAGGACTAGCTCCTCTCAAGTTTAATTAGCATTCTTCAGCAAGATGTTTCACCAGAACTTCTTTCTTACCTGTCCATATAAAATCCACAATGATTGATCTCTTGTTTAATTCAACAGTACATTGTTCCCAGCTAATTAACAGATGTTCCCTACCTCAACCTCAAAAGAGTTCCATTAAGTAATCGCAATATCAAATATTACATGAATGTAATAATGTAGTTGAACTCTGTTATCTCGAACACCGATATTTTGAATACCATGGATATATTAATTGAAGTCAGTTGGAAGTCCCAACTACTTTTGTTTGTAAATATTTTAACCTCAGTATCTCAAATACTGGATACATGTATCTCAGTGTTTTTTCTTGTCCCATCAAGTTCAAGATAACAAGGTTTGACTGTATGTGCTGGAAAATTCTTGCCTCATGTTATTTTCACCATTTTTAAGTTTCACCCAATGCCCATTGCCAATTTTGTATGCTATTGCTGTTTACTTTTGGTAAAAAAGCTGTTATGAGGAAAAAGGTCAAAAGCAAAAGATGAAAGAGGGAGTGAATTTTTGTATGCAGCTGATCTGTATTTAATTACTTGGATAGCTAAGTGTATATTTAATTTTACATTCTTTGTTTATTTTCAGTGCATAGGTACATTTACATGTATAGCATGTATATTTATATGTACAGGGCATGTGTAATAATTTGAATTTTTATTTTTAGATTTTTATTGCCAAATTTTTATGGCAGTGATTCTTTAATTTCAATCTAGTCAGTGCTTGCAGTGAAGTATTGAATTTTCCATTTTATATGACATTTTCTTAACATTGCAATTGTTTATTAGTTATAGGACAATAGGTTAAGAAAATTAATGTGTTCAATCATTAAAATCAAGGGACCTAAATACATATAATATATGTTTAATGTATTCGTCCCTATTAAAATCTTGTTGAACACCTTGAAGTTATGCGTTTATTCTCATTCATGACACATAATGATTGTATACACTTTTAAAAATAAGATTTATAATTTCCCAATAATTGAATTACTCTTGAAAAAAAAATCCAATATCATTAATGTTTAATCCAAATCCATGGGGCTGGTTAACATCTGGTTCTACCAGAAACTTGATATATGAGAAGACTGGGGGATGTATGATCAATATTTAAACATTGACAGAGTTAAAGAATCAGCAACAAGCAGTAATTACACTGAGAAACCCTCATAACATTAAAATTACAATTTACAGTACAAATGCATATGTTTGTATATATGTGTCTGATACAAACTCAGTTTTCAATTTTTACACATTTCAAGGGTTGAACTGGCCTTGTATCCAGAATTCAGTGTATTTATATACTAAATTTAATGAGAAGAGTTTCATATTTTCAACCAACAAGTTCAATCATAAACTCATACTGTGAATAAACCCATGCAGTGGTACAATGGGTTAAATTATGATTCTGTTATAGAATGATGCATTTTATATTTCTTATGACAATCTGATATCATGATTTCCAAATGCTTAGAGATCAGTGTATATGCAGTTACACTGCTTAATTATTACACTGTACTTGTAGATTTATTTAGAAATTTTTGTTTTTCTTTGTTGTTGATTTTTTTGGTACATACCTGTAAAATCCTGTTAGAGTGGCTAAACTTTTAGTTAGCAGCTCTTTAAATTTTCTACACTTTGACTTTTACCCATTATTCCAGATTTGTTTTTTTTATGTTAAAGTGCTGTATAAGGGGTTATATCTGTTAATTTCTCATTCACAGATATTTGAATTTTAAAAATTTCATAAACCATCATTCTTGGATACATGTAGATTGTATTATTGCCAAGTGCATAAAATCACAGATACAGTGTATTGAAATTGCCACAATGTACTTTAAACTTAATGCTAGCTTGTAAAGTAAAAAGTTGACCATTGTAATTCAAAAGAAATAACCCTTTACACAGTACCCTTTTCCTTTGTTACAATATTAACTGTTGAAATTTGTTTTTATCATACAATAAATTCTATAATTATTAATATTAAATCTTTGTTTTTCGTACATGTTTTAACCTTTATCATTATCAGAGACTTTGTTAATCTTCACAGACATAAATAATAAAAGTGGAAACATGAAGCATTGCCAAGGTTGCTTTCATTAATCTGGATTGCTAGGGGCTTTTCAGATAATACTCGGTTGAACTTTGGTATCTTGAACACCGATATTTCGTATACCGTGGATATGTCAAAGTGCATGATCTGGAAGTCCCAACCTCATATTCTTTTAAGTATTTTACCCTCCATATCTCAGAGTTTTTCTTAGTCCCATGGAGTTTGAGATAACGAGGTTCAACTGTATTTTTAAATTAATTATAGTAACTGTTAAGTGTACGTTCCCTGACTTACACACATGCCATTTTGAAAAAATTTTTAAAGGTTTTTCCTTTATATTTCTATGTAAAACTTTGATCCTCCGTTGTGGCCCCACCATACCCCGGGGGTCATGATTTGAACAAATTTGAATCTACACTACCTGAGGATGCTTCCACATGAGTTTCATTTTTCCTGGCCCTGTGGTTCTTGAAAATAGAAGATTTTTTAGCTCTTCTGAGCCAAAGGCTCAAAGAGCTAATGCTATGGCCATTTGTGCGGTGTGCGTAAACTTTTTAGAATATGGGCCATAACTCAAGAACCCCTTGGCCAATTATTGTCAAATTTGTCACAAGGTATCCTTGGCCCAAGGGCTCCCTTTTATACTAAAACTGGGGTTGTGACCCTTTAACAAGGGGAGATAATTAGGAAAATAGAAACAAAAGTACTGGTTGCTAAAAAATCTTCTTCTCAAGAACCACTGGGCAGATTATCACCAAACTTACATAAAAGGATGAGGATATGTTGTAGATTAAAATTTGCACGGGGATTTACCCTGGGGCAAAGGGCGTGGTCTCAAGGTCACTTCAAAGTTGACCAAAAATGACATTTTATTAAAATGTTGATATTTTGCTTACTATAAGGACTAGGATCATCAAATCTTGTCAGTTGATGCATCTAAGGACCTCATATCATGTTGACTCAAATGTAGGTCATGGTGACCTACTTTTTAAATTTTGCGGCCATTCTTTTTCAAAATGATTTAGAGGCATATTTTGAACAATTTAAGGCCTATGATCATCAAACTTTGTCAGTTTATGTATCTTAGGTCCTCGAAGTACGTCAACTAAAGAGTAGGTCACCTTGACCTACTTTTTGAATTTTATGGCTTATCTTTTTCAAAACAATTAAGGTCATTAATTCGAATACCGAGAGGTTTAGAATCATTAAATCTTGTAAGATGATGCATCTTGGGGCCATAAAACATATTTATTAAAAAGTAGGTCACAGTGACCTACTTTTTGAACTTTGCAGGCATTCAATTTCAAATCGTTTTAGAAGCATAATTTGGACATTTTTAGTTTTATGATCATAAAACTTTGTAAGTTGATGCATCTTGGGTCCTCAAAAAAGGTCAACTGAAAAGTAGGTCATCGTGACCTACTTTTCAATTTATATGACTATAATTAAATATTTCAGGTACTAATTGGCTTAGAATCATCAAACTTTGTCAGTTGATGCATCTTGGGTCTTTGGAGTAGGTTGACTAAAAAGTAGGTCACAGTGACCTACTTTTGAAAATTTATGGCTTTAATTAAATATATGAGGTACTAATTGGCTTTGAATCATCAAACTTTGTCAGTTGATGACTTTTGGGTCTTCGGAGTAGGTCGACTAAAAAGTAGGTCATGGTGACCTACTTGCAAAAATTTATGGCTTTAATTAAATATTTCGGGTACTAATTGGCTTAGAATCATAAAACTTCGTCAGTTCATGTGTCTTGAGTCCTCGGAGTGCAACAACTGAAAAGTAAGTCATGGTGACCTACTTTTGAAAATTTATGGCTTTAATTAAATATTTTGGGTACTTATTGGCTTAGAATCATCAAATTTTGTCAGTCGATGTATCTTTGGTCCTCGGAGTACAGCAACTGAAAAGTAGGTCACCGTGACCTACTTTTGAAAATTTATGGCTTTAATTAAATATTTCAGGTACTAATTGGCTTAAAATCATCAAACTTTGTCAATTGATGCATCTTGGGTCCTTGGAGTACAACAATTGAAAAGTAGGTCACTTTGACCTACTTATAAAATTTTATGGTTATAATTTTAAAAAATATTTTAGGCATTAATTGGCTTAGAATCATCAAACTTAGTTGATGGGTCCTCAGACAATGACAAGTGATAAGTGGGTCACCATGACCAACTCTCAGGTACTAATTGGCTTAGAATCATCTTGGGTTCTCAGAGTGTGAATTGGAATTTCAAGGGTTTATCTAAATATACAGGATACTTCGAGGGTTCAAATAGAAGTGATAGGTTGCACAGTTTATCAGAAGAGCGATTCAAGGCCCATGGGCCTCTTGTAAAAGATGCTATTAATTTTTCACTAATTCTTTATTATCTCCCCTTGAAAGTGGGTGGCCCTTCATTTGAACAAACTTGAATCCCCTTCACCCAAGGATGCTTTGTGGCAAGTTTGGTTGAAATTGGCCCAGTGGTTATGGAGAAGAAGTTAAAAATGTGAAAAGTTTACAGACGGACGGACAGACAGACTACAGACAAAATGTGATCAGAAAAGCTCACTTGAGCTAAAAACAGTTAACTTACAGGATACTTCGAGGGTTCAAATAGAAGTGATAGGTTGCACAGTTTATCAGAAGAGCGATTCAAGGCCCATGGGCCTCTTGTAAAAGATGCTATTAATTTTTCACTAATTCTTTATTATCTCCCCTTGAAAGTGGGTGGCCCTTCATTTGAACAAACTTGAATCCCCTTCACCCAAGGATGCTTTGTGGCAAGTTTGGTTGAAATTGGCCCAGTGGTTATGGAGAAGAAGTTAAAAATGTGAAAAGTTTACAGACGGACGGACAGACAGACTACAGACAAAATGTGATCAGAAAAGCTCACTTGAGCTAAAAACAGTTAACTTTACATTGTAAATGCTTCCATAAAAATAATATAAAACATTAATATGGGATACAAGTATATTTATGTAGCTATTATCATTTACACTACATAACATGGATTACATACTACAGAACTCAGATGTTCGCTGCATAACAAATAATGTACAACACAACTCGCTCAACTCACAGAGGGAAGATAGAAAGAAGACAAAAATTCATGATTCATATGACAGAAGTAAATGACCTAATATAGCAGTCTTATAAACACAGAAGCTCTTAGACACAGAAAACTCTAGAATCATACAATGTAGATTTGATATTATATTATTTTATACAAAGGACATGCAATAAACAATGTCCCTGTATATATTTTTCATGAACATCAGTTTCCCACGTTCACAATCATGAATACACAGTATCAATGAACTGTGAACTCCCAATTCACTTAAAATCTCAGAAAAACATACTAAACATTAACAATTATATCCACATACAGCTAAGCACTACTTCTCTCACAAGCACAATTTTCCATGATTGAAAATAAAAGGTGGTTTTCTATAAACATGTCTTCCAGTCTTAAAATTCGTGAACAATGATATTCACTGTCTGGATTCCAGCTTCTGCATCAGTTGATCACATATATCTGACAAGTCATTAAATTCCTTTCCCTGTAAAAGAACAAATATATTGAGTTCAACTACAACTTTTCTTTTCTTAAGTTCTTAGTAAATTTGATATGCATTTAAGTTTACTTTGGTAATAACAAAATACTAATGCCTTTTTATATAAAACTTTTTTTGCTGAATTTTTGCATGATGTACCATGTAAACTAAAGGAAATAGTGATTAGGCCACAATTAAAATATTGTTGGTTTGGCATTGCCGACTTAGTCTTTATATGTTTTGGTTGGTAGGTAGGGAAAATATTTTTTTTAAATTTTCAGAAATGGTACATGTTGTTAGTATCTGGGCATCATGGGTTTCCGATAGTTTAACAACAACCACAGTCTGAATTGATTCTCAGTTTTGTCATTGATTTTCAAACCCTTTTAGTTTTAAACCTTTAATATGGTGAGAACCTCGTAAGTTGTTAGAACTTGTGTTCAAACCATTTGTATATTATTTATACAATAAAATATGTTCAAACCAAACCTTTAATATACATGGTATCAAAAATCACCGACATTAAATTAGTATAAAGTCGTTATCATGTGCACGAATCCAAGCATGGCAGCTAGATTCATCTAGCAAATCGGACAGGACATTGTACTGTGAAATTTCTATTTCGAACTGGTATATCTGATTCATCAGTTTACTTTTGCCATTTAAAACCACAGAGAGTCATGCCATCAACTTCTGTTATACCGAGTTTACATTTTACCGCTTTCGACAGCCATATGCTTGGATTCATGATACGCATTTATTCAACATCACATAGACGCTTATAAATGAAAACTGTTTGATTAATCAAGCGTTTACATGATTCTTTCCCATTCTGAATATATTCTGTACAAACACTTAAATCCGGATGAAATAAAAATTATGATCAGTATCTGTTGAAAAAATTCTTCGGAACGTACCGATTTATGTGAGTTGGCCGGCAACGCCAAACAAAGCTAATTTTATTTTTGGCCTTAAGGTTTCAATTCATGCATGTGTGAGAGTCAATGAGGAACAAAAACTATCACATTGAAATATCTTATTTAATAATCAGTTATTAAACAGTTAAAAATTTCTGGCGGCCCACAAGATGGTTGTCATCAGAATAGGAATGTAATTTTTTTTTTCAAGACTGTCCTTTGTTCAAAACCAGTTAACAAGCAAAGACACCAACTGTACATTCTCATATAATATTTTTGTTTGCATTTGTTGTATTTCAAGTGCTGTTAAATTTCCTGAGCACTGGCTATTCCATCAATGAAATATACAAAGAAATATAAACAATAATTCCAACTTTAAAATAGTTTGTTTACTCTCTCTCACCTCAGGATGAAAAAATTGGGTCGGTAGATAGTAGAAAAATTTTTATCCTGCAACTACCCCTTGCAATGACCTAATAAAGGTAACCTAATAAACCAAAGCTTAATTCGGTCAATGCCCTAATAAAGCCTCATGCATGTATTCCTACGTTCTACAAAGCATTGTGACGTCATACACATTGCAATGTTTACGCCGTGGCGTCTTAGTTTCAACTGCAGAGATTTACCTAAATCGGTTGAAAATAGCTCGTTTTGGAGGTCTGATGTAAAACAATAAATTGCAGGATAAACAAAATACATAGAAACTATCTTGAAATATAAGCGATATTTGGGCTTGGGTCGAAAACGTGATAGAGGGCTCGGCAAGCCTCGCCCTCTATCATGTTTTCTTACCCTCACCCAAATATCGCTTATATTTCAAGACAGTAGCCTTGTATTTTTAGGTCACCTGAGTCACTCAGGTGACCTATTGCTATCCGTTCTCGTCCGTCGGCGTGCGTCGTGCGTCTTGTGTCGTGTGTTAACATTTGAACATTTTTAGCTTCTTCTCTGAAACCTCTTAACCAATTTCAACCAAATTTGGCATATAGCATCTATGGGTGAAGGGGAACAAAAATTGTGAATTCCATGGTCCCTGTCCCCTGGGGCCTGAGGGGTGGGGCTAAAACCACCAAAAATAATGCAATCTTTAAAAATCTTCTTCTTTACTCCTGGACATCAAGCAGTCAAACTGTTGGCATCATTGTAATAAGCATTGAGCCCTCTACCAAAATTGTGAAATTCATGGCCCCAGGGTCAGGGGTTCTGGTGCTAGGGTGGGGCTATATAGATCATATAGTGAAAGTGCATTATTTCTTTGAAAATCTTCTTCTCTGCTCCTGGGTATTAAACAAGGTAATTAAGTACATAGTTATGAAGAGCAAGAATGCCTCTTCCAAAATTGTGAAATTCATGGCCCCAGGGTCAGGGGTTCTGGTGTTAGAGCGGGGCTCTATTGATTATATAGTGAAAATGCATTTATTCTTTGAAAATCTTCTTCTCTGCTTCTGGGTATTAAATAAAGCAACTAAGTACATAGTTATGATGAGCAAGAGAGCCTCTTCCAAAATTGTGAAATTCATGGCCCCAGGGTCAGGAGTTCTGGTGCTAGGGTGGGGCTATATAGATCATATAGTGAAAGTGCATTATTTCTTTGAAAATCTTCTTCTCTGCTTCTGGGTATTAAATAAACTAACTTAGTGCATAGTTATGATGAGCAAGAGTGCCTCTTCCAAAATTGTGAATTTCATGGCTCCAGGGTCAGGGGTTCTGGTGTTAGGACGGGGCTCTATTAATTATATAGTGAAAATGCATTATTTCTTTGAAAATCTCCTTCTCTTCTCCTGGGAATTCAATTAACTAACTAGGTACATAGTTATGATGAGCAAGAATGCCTCTTCCAAAATTGTGAATTTCATGTCCCCAGGGTCAGGGGTTCAGGTGTTAGGGCGGGGCTTTATTGATTATAAAGTGAAAAGGCATTATTTCTCTGAAAATCTTCTTCTCTGCTCCTGGGTATTAAACAAACTAACTAAGTACATAGTTATGAAGAGCAAGAGTGCCTTATCCAAAATTGTGAATTTCATGGCCCCAGGGTCAGGGGTTCTGGTGTTAGGGCAGGGCTCTATTGATTATATAGTGAAAATGCACTATTTCTTTGAAAATCTTCTTCTCTGCTCCTAGGTATTAAATAAATTAACTAAGTACATAGTTATGATGAGCAAGAGTGCCTTTTCCAAAATTATGAATTTCATGGCCCCGGGGACAGGGGTTCTGGTGTTAGGGCGGGGCTATATAAATCAGATAGTGAAAATGCATTATTTCTTTAAAAATCTTCTCTACTCCTGGGTATTATTTAAATAAACTAACTACATAGTTATGATAAGCAATGATGCTTCTTCCAAAATTGTGAATTTCATGGCCCCTGGTTCAGGTGTTCTGGTGTTAGGTCGGGGCTCTATTTATTATAAAGTGAAAATGCATTATTTCTTTGAAAATCATCTTCTCTTCTCCTGGGTATTATTTAAACAAACTAAGTACATTGATATGATAAGCAAGGATGCCTTTTCCAAAATTGTGAAATTCATGGCCCCAGGGACTGGGGTTCTGGTGCTATGGTGGGGCTATATAGATCCTATAGTGAAGGTGATTTATTTCTTTGAAAATCTTCTTCTCTGCCCCGGGGTATTATTTAAACAAACTATGTACATTGTTATGATATGCAAGGATGTTTCTTCCAAAATTGTGAATTTCATGGCCCCAGGGTCAAGGGCTCTGGTGAAAAAGGGGGGGGGGGGGGCTCTATTGATTATATAGTGAAAAAGCAAAATTTCTTTGAAAATATTCCTTTCTGCTTCTGGTTAAAAAGCAAAGAAGCTATGTGTATAGTTATGATGAGCAAGAGTGCTTCTTCCAGAGTAGTGAATTGCATGAGCCCTGGGTCAGATGTGCTGGCGTAAGGGTGGGGCTCTTGATAATATAGTGAAAATGTATTAATTCTATTTAATAATCCTGTCTGCTCCTTAGTGTTAAGCAGATAAACAAAGTGATTACTTATAATGAGCAAACTTCTGGTCCCAGGGTCAGAGGCTCTGGTGTTTCTCAGTGGGGAGGGGGGCTCTATTGATAATATATTATTTACATTTGCAAATATTTTTCTTAGATGAACCTATTGAAGAGAAAATATGTTCAATTCTGTATGAACTTATTGGGGGTCAGAGGTCATGGCCGAATCACACAGCAAGACGATATCTTGTCTACATAATTATTTCTGTCACAGTGACACTGGTTTCGGAACTTCTAAGCAGTTAAAGTGATGAAAAAGATAAAATTATTGAAACATATATTTTTTTTCGTTCAATAAATGGATCATTAGATCTTTCTTCGGTGTGAAGAATGTTTCTAATTAGCCTAAAATCACGCTTACCTTTTTAACCCGAAATTCCTTTGAAAGTATGTAAACTGAAGACGATAGCACCGCTTTTGACTTCATATATAAAGAACTCATATAAAATAATAGTAAGATTATTCCCAGTAGCGATCATTGTATTTTCATTATGAACAGATATTTCCTGAACTGGACTGCTGAACATCAATGTAAGTATTCAAATGTTGGAGCGAGGCGAACTCTCAAGACCAAACAGCTTCTAGGTCATTGCGCGTCACAACACAGCAATACGGCGGGCCGTTCATGTAATAAAAGCAGTTCTATTCAGAATATTCGTCTCAAATGTAAATAAAAGTAATAAACAACAATGTTAAAACGTTCACTGGGAAATGAACTTGGTTGGTACGTGATCAAATCTTCTGAGAAGTCCTTCGGGCTTCACAGGATTTGATCATGTGACCAACCAAGTTCATTTCCCAGAGAACTTTTTAACATTGTTGTTTATTTCTTAAGTGAATCTGTAGTAAAAATTCATTATTTCTTTAAAAATCTTCTCTGCACCTGGGCATATCAGAGGCAAAAAGAGTAAATGATTTAATAAGGAAGGGTATTTTTTACCAGATTTTTGAACATCTGGACCATTTGGTCAAGTGTTCTGGTCCTGGCCAGGGCTCTATTAATTTGTATTCTTCTGAGAGGAGTTATTCCCCTTTGCCATTTACTTTTGACAATTAATCACTGTAAATATTGTACTTGAAAGGTTAATAGAATAAGAGAATTATGCAAGAATTTTTATTGTATAATACAAAAAGTACTTTCATAGTTTTAATGATCAGTTAGACTTTTAAGTAATAAATAAATAAAAATGAGACAAAAATAACTTGTCTTATTAAATGTTCATCAAAGACTAAGAGAGGCCAATGTAAGACTTTTTAACAAGGAATTAAAATAGTTTAAAACATTGCTGTGACGTCATGCCTTTGTTCTTGCAGTCTAAAAATTTAGCTGTAGCCGTCCGATAATAATAATTAGCAGTCCAATAATATATTATCGGACGGCAGTGATAACAAAATCAGACAGTAGATAAAAAACAACAACTAGAGTGAGATCAAGGTTTAATTTGTCCAGAAACCAAAAAAAAAAGTTAGGGAGAAAAATTCAGGGAAAGGGAACACGAGGAAATTGTTAAAAATAGCAAACCCAAGAAGAAATTGGAGTTTTAACCTTCCTCAAAAGTAACACTTTCCATTCGGTTTTTTGCAAAACATTTTCGATACAGCACTGTGAATAAGCCAAATTAAATCCATTTCTGATAAAGAACCAGTCTGCGAATTTCTTCATTTAACGAGGTTTGTTCGCCAATGACCACACTATTAAAACCCAAGATTTTCATTATATCATCCAATCAAAATTTTAGATAAAAATCCGCATTTTTACCTTAAATGTATTTTGAAGATATCATCCAACACTGTATCTGTATCAATGTCAAACGACTTAATAAAAAAATATTCCGAATCATAAAAAAAATCCTTCTTCGCCTGACCACTGTCCATAGTTCTTGCTAAGCCAAACGACTGCCATTGAATGAATGAAACAAGAGTTCACTCACTGATTTTACTATCTAAAGAAAAAAAACTTTCGCCTTTCTTTTGTCTATTTATTAGATGGTTTCAGGTAGAACACGATTGATGCCTGAACTCCTATTGTGTAATTATCGGACTCCTTAAGGTAACTTTTGGACATTTAAATAGCAATGTTTTAAGTAAGATATATGCCTCATACAATTCTAAATGTAAAATTATCAGACCGTTTTCGGCCCTAACGGGCCTCAAACAGTCTGATGATTTTACCTATAGAACAGTATTCGGCATATATCCATTACATAGAAGCACTGATAGTTAATATACTGTATGGTGATGGTGATAAATGGGGAACAGATTAGAACCTAATTTAAGAACTGTTACTGAATGCTAGACTAATTATTTTGTTGATCCTGATCATCCTATATTTCTTGCTTTTGGGCAACAAAACTTCACCTTTCAGTTCATTTTATACTCTATGGATCCTCTAAATTGTTGAATTATACTCAGGTGACCGTTAAGGCCCTTGGGCCTCTTGTATATTTTTCCCCAGAAAATTTCAACATCAATGCTGAATTTTCAAAATCTATTTTCCGGAATGCATAAAAAAATAACTGCTTCCTGGAGGTTAAAAAAAGGATTTGAGTCCAGCCATTTTTAGCCAGTCCGTCGGGAGAGGGCAAACAAACTTGTTTTTAAAGCATAAAATGTCTTTCTTTGTTAGCATGGGAATTAACATTGTAGCCATTGCAGAAAATTCTACATAACCCACTTACACAGATTGTGTATTTTTTTCTGCAACAGCTGAAACATTAATTCCTGTACTAACAACCAAAGAAAGCATTTCATTGTTTAAATTAAGCTAGAGTACCTTTTGTTCCAGGGCTTTCTCTTTACTTTCAAGCTGCATCTCTTTGCGTTTCACCAAAGCCTCCAGTCGAGCAGTTTCTGACCTTGAATTGGACTTGACCTTTTCAAGTTCTTCATGTGCCCTGGAAATAAGAACAAAATATACTGTTAAAGATAAAAGATATCATTAGCAGTTCATTATTACTTTACTAATTTATTCCAACATTATATGGCTTTACTAATACATCTAGATGTAGCATCTCAAACATGGATAATTTTATGCAGTCCTCGGCCTACATGCAACTTCAATGATGTTACAAGAAAAGTACATTCAATAGAGTATCTGAAGCTGTCTCAAAAATTTAACATGGAATACTGATGCAGAGATGCCAGCAAATATATAGACTAGCTGTTTTTACTCAGTTTTGGGTTTCAATATTGTTTATATTTTCACACAAGTGAGATATGATATGAAAAGAATATGAAGAATTTGGTTATACATCAAGTTGGAAGGAAATCACTGTTTCCAAAATTATTTTGAAAAAAGTTACTACACTAAGAAAGACAAAACCCAATCTAGTAACCAGAACTTTCTTAAATTAAATGTAACAGGTTATCAAAATGACACAAATTATCTTGTTATGGATTAGTTCAGTTTCAGTTAATTAAGGACACGCGCAACATACATATACACAAACTCTACAATGTACCTTTCCCACTGATAATTTTCTAAGATATTCTCAATTTTAAATCATAGTAGTGTAAGATGTTCATAAACAAAAAATCAGCATACATTACCAGGAGTTTTGACCAGATATAAAATGATGAAAATGCTAGTATTTTTTTTAAAAGAATTAACATATAGTTTTAGCTGGTATTTCACATAAATTTGATTTAGAGGAGGTGAACAGTATAACCAGGCACCATAAAATCACAAAAATAATTGGAACTTTTAAATCAAACAGGGAATTAGAAATTTAAGTTAAAAACTACGTTGCGTATGTCAGAAAAAAAAGACATTCTTGTACATGTGTGTCTTTCTACCCCCTGTAATGAAACTTACGCCTTTAATTTCTCCTCGGCCATTTGTTTCACTTTAAGGATTTGTTCGTCAGCCTTTTTTAATCTCCCCATATAATCCTCCACACACGCTTTCAGCGTTTCTTCATTCTGATAAATACAGAATTGGAAATTATACAGGATGTTTAATTAATGTACAATTTAGAGACCTTCTGTTGTATTGAGTTAAATTTCATAGTCTGTTATCATCCCAAAAGGTCTGGGAATTTTCCAATATTGTATAACAATAATTTCTACATCAAAGTTTTGAATATATGCCAAGGCCAATAATCATGACCTTAACTCTTTATTCAACCATCCTTATCATGCTTATGGTATGAATCAGGGATGGGGTAATTGAAAAAAGTAATTGTAATCGACTGTAATTAATTACATTTTTTGAAGTAATTGAAAGTAATTTGTAATTGAACATTTTTTCAATTTCTTGTAATTGTAATTTAATTAATTACACTGAAAAAATATGTAATTTCAATTACTTTTTCAATTACATTCAATTACTTTATATAATACACATTCACGATATATTGTCACCACTACCTCCCCATTTTACTGGGTTTTTATTTTATTGTAAAACATATCCTCAATCCTTCAATTAAACAAAATCTGAAGTTAATGTTTACAAACAAATAATTAAATGATTGGCTTGATAATAATAATCTGGTTTCTTTCTAATCATTATGTAAATTTTGAATTTTTTGATCTATGTTTATAAATATGAATTTTGAACCACTCTTCTTAGGTCTATTCAGCTATGAAACACACATTTATTATATTTCAATCTTTGTTGTTTGATCAATAATATAGAAAAAGAAGGTGTGTGTCATTATAAAGTTCTCTCTTGTTGGGAAGAGATAATTGCCCTCCAGATCACAACTGTAAATTGCAATCAAAACAAATCAACTCCTCTAAAGAGATATATTCATTCCATAATTTAGAAGACAATTAAAGCCAATGGAGATAATTATTTCAATTTAAAATGCTCCGCTAGCTTTAGAAAAAAAAACTTTCAATTTGATAATTATTTTAACATCTAAACAGATTTTTATGAATGAATTCTTATCTGTACAAGTATTATTTATGAAGTAAAATTATTCAACATAAATAGCAATTTAGGATGTTCAGGTTACCTTCAAGAAAATATTTAATTTGAGGGGTTACAGTTGCGACTCATTTTACCCTGTTAAAATACCCACTTTTAATCAAATATCATAAGCCATGCAATTTGTGTACATGTAGGTTTTGTGTGGTGGAAACTGCATCAATCTGATCTCGAATAGTTCTTTAAGAGATTCTTTAATGTTTTGTAAATAAATATTATAAATTAAACCACAATGATACACAATGCCTATAGCATATTATTTCTTGTACTCTTTGTGCAGAGGCTGAGCTTGTATACAAATAAATGATATTCTGTATATTCATTGACAAGGATTATACAAATTTTCAAAAGAATTAAAAATGTAATTTGTAATTTAATTAATTACTTTTGCAAAGTAATTGTAATTTAATTAATTACATGTCTTAGAGAGCCTGTAATTTAATTGAAGAAAAAGTCAAAGTAATTGTAATTTAATTAATTACTTTTTAAAGTAATTGACCCCATCCCTGGTATGAATCGTTTTTACTATGATAATACTTGTACAGCTATAATACCATTGCATGTATGACAATAATTTTGACATTTTATCATCTGATCCCAAAATATAATTGTGACCATTTATCATGTGAACCTATATCAAACAAGTCATTGAAATATTCTCTGCTTTAGAATTAAATAAAGTTCTATACATTTTAAAAGAACTGAAGTCATCATGTCACATTAAGAAAGATGTTCTGGGTTGGATGGATGCAGTGATTTACAAATTCAGGGAAGGTTTAATTCGATTCTATGCTTACATATAACAGACAGACTTGCCTTTAGAGAATTTTCCAATATTTCTTTGGTTTTGCCGTATCTTTTGTGGAGAGCGGAGAATGAGGCTTCTAATGTGTCTACAGCCTTAGACTCCTGTGTAGTCTATAAAATAAAAGTATGTGTGAATAAACTTCTTCAAATTAAATATGTGAAATATATTCGACTCTACTCATACATGTTTACATGTATATATTGTTAAATTTGTAACACAGAGTTGACTATCATTGTTACAGTAGCACAAGTTAACAGTACAAACCTGTTCATTGGCCTTCTGCAGCTCTTGTTTGACATGTTTTAATTCAGTTTTTAATTTTTCTCTTTCCTCTGGAATAAAAGTAATGAAATAATCCAAATACTATTAGCACTCAATAACAGATACATTGAACATGTACATATTTCAAACATACAAGTACCATAATTATATACATGTAAAGAAAACAAAATATTTTCTCCTATCATGGAGGTTTTTAAATTATATATTGTTCCATTCTGTTATAATAAAACAACCATCACAAATGATGTCAAATACACTGTAAACAAGAAAATTAAGTTGTGTGGATCATCCACTATTATGGTGCATGTAAATGCATTGTGGTGCCTTATTTATTTCATGTCACCTAACAGCAGAATGGTTTGGGGGAATCTTGTTCAATATTTTATAAGGGGGTTCATTATATCGCAGCGAAAAAGTGAACCCAGGTTCAAAATATTACGCGATATATTGAACCCAGGTTTAATATATCACAGTATCAAAATATTATGCCACACCGGCTTTAAACATGCAACAGAAAACTTTTAAGAAATATTCAATCACATTACTTCTAATTTATTTTTTCTTAAAGAACTTCTCTAACATCATTAGGAATACAGGATACTGGAATATTTCTACGTAAGTTTTAAGTACATGAATACTTGGTTCTGACCTCAAGTGTCAAGCTTTATTTTCAGGTTCACAAAGAGATTGCAAGGAATTGTTTAATAGGTAAAAAGCTCCTAGCCAGCTACTTATTGCAAATATCTGTACTAATTTCCATGTCTATCTACTGTCATTAGAACAAACGAACTTACCTACAAACTCATTGATCATGGCCTCAAATTCCTGGACTACAGAACTATGTAAATAAAATACAAAGTGTTAAAAGTATTCCTCAAAAATAAAGGTCACACAGACTTAAAATAACTAATAGTACAATAAGCTTGCTGTTTCACACAAGGTTCAAAAACAGCACTAAATCTTTAAAAATTGTGAAAGACCACGGATGAGAAATTAACAATGAAAGAATTAAGTACATTTTAATGAAATTCGGTACATACGCCATTTGCTTGACCTTGTCCTCTGCCTTCTGACACTGCGCCCGGTTCTTGTCGATTTCTTGACTCATTTGTGCCTTCACCTCTTCCAGTTTCTTTCCGTGTTTTTTCTCCTCCTCTGCTAACTTCTGACTCCATTCTTTTTGATTGTCCAATAATATACCCTGGAATTCCAGGGCCAACGTTTGCTTGATCCGAGATATGTCTGCCTCTGTATACTGCAAAACCTATGCAAGAAATTCACGTATGTGCTTCATTAAATTTACCTAACTTTTCAAAGGTCAAATATATACAAAGTAAACTTTCTATTTCTTACAAAACCATGTATAAATTATAAATATTTTAGATATCAAATACCAGTTACACAATACAGGTATACCCAACATATCACAAAGGTTCTTCTTTAACAATCTATAGAAGAACTAAACAAACCCTCCTCTCGAATACATGCACAATGCAATAACAAGAAAACTGAAGCTTACTCAACATCTGCCAAGAGATGTCATTATTAATTATTATGTCAACATCCCTGGTAACATAATAATATTGAATAATTTAATTTTGGTTGTAACGCGTCATTTGATTGGATAAAAAAAATTAGAATATATCGTATAACCTGGGTTGCCTACGTCACAATGAATTACGTCAAAAACGTATCAATCCGCTTGACGTTACATTTAAAATATGTACAATTTGAAGGCATTGTTGAAGGAGAAATTGTCTTATTTTTTTACACTTGATGGAAAATTAAATTATAAGAAATGAATTTAATAGCTACTCAAGTTATACTGGCGTAACCTGGGTTGGAACAGTTTACGCTTTTTATAAACCACTTCGCGGTTTATAAAGCATAAACTGTCCTAACCCAGGTTATACCAGTATAACTTCCGTAGCTATTAAATTCATTCCTCAACTATGTGGAAAAACTTAAGTTGTTATTAACATAAAATAATATGACACTTGTTCAAAAATTGTGACTGGCTGAACAGATATATGCCATGACTTGTCATGTGACCTACCTCAATGATTCCATCCCCCTCTGTCTGATTTAGAGACAAGGTATCCTTGATCACATCTGTCACTTCCTGTAAAAGTAATATTAGAATACTCTGTTTAGTAGCTTGTTTTTAACTATTCAAGAACTATAGAAAAAAAAAATTGTTGTATGGAAAAATTCTTTTTCCAAGGACAGTAAATTATATGTGTGAAAATCAAATGAGTCATATGTGTATATATTAAATATCATTTAATAAAAAAATCTTTTTCTAATAAAGCATATCTTTTACCAAAATCTATATTCAAAAACATTTTGTGGAGTACTGAACAACACATACCGTCCTGCCCTCGGGTATATCTGAACAGAGTAAGTCGTTAGAGGTGACTGCTTTTGTGTTGACTGGGGTCTGGTTCTTCACCACAGGCACCACCCGGCTCTGACCCGGACCACGTGGTGGTGTCCCCATCAAAAGCATGCTCTCATCTGGTTCTCTTATAAAATAATCAGGAAATAATGATTTTGTTTTCCTTAAATGTGTAATAATATGGCTAACATGTAGTTTCAACATGTTCAGTGTCATCGTTCCAAGGAGAGTAAGAGGTTCCTCTAATGACTGTCTTGAGACAGCCCTAATTACTGCTCTCCTAATGCTAAATCTATGTTTTGATGTGAAAGTTTAAATATATATATAATACAGTTGAACTTCAGCACCTCAAACATTGACATCTCGAATACAATAGATGGTTTTCCATCAAGGTGATTTAAGCAAGAGTTATTTCTCCATGGCCGCCATATTGTAGGTCAACATCCCCAGTTCCCTTCATCATTCAACCAAGTTCAATTTGTTATACTAGGCATTTAGGTGAAGATAACACTGTTTTCTTATGAATATATAAACGTTTGTTAAAGCTTTATTTAATTCATAATTTCAATATTGTAAATATTTTTCCCATATATTTCTGGCATGCAGGGATCGACATTAATGCTTGTCCGATTGCCCGGGACAAGTAAATTCTCAGTTCGGGCAAGTGAAATTGTCAACAAACTTGTCCGATTGGGCAAGTGAATTTTTCTCCTAGAAATATACATATTTATTGAGTTTACATTGATTTATAAATAAAACTGTACAATAAATTGAACAGCTAGTTGACAGCTAGGTACCTCACTGACATTGAATTGTATTCGGAATTCCTTGGTAGTGTTACTAGATTATATCACCCATTTAGATATTGGGTTCATTATTCTGTTTTCTTTCCTAAATCTAAATTCAACCTACGTCTATCATTTATTCAATCAAAGAATATAAGTAATACAATGTATCCCAATCAAGATATGTATGTTCCGTAGCTACTATCTTCCTTTAGCGTTGCTTCGCAGTTATCTCTGAAAATCACGATTCACAAAAAAATCCTACCGAAAAAATATTTTGAATATATGAATTTTATTAAAAGGAAACAGAGGGTTATTGCTGCATGGCAGTGTGTACGTGTTTACAGGTTAAATTGACAAGGACAGTGGTACACATTTATGTACAAAACGCAGCATCGAAATTTTTTTCATGTACTTCAACTTGCCAAGTTGACAGTAGTGTATTTTGTCACACTTTTTCTTATCATTACATTTACAGTAATAAATAATACTTATCTTTTCTAATTTTGGGAAACTAAGTTTTGCATTCGGACAAGTCAAAGTCTGAGATGACCTACCCGAAGGGCAATTGAATCTGAAAGTTAATGTCTATCCCTGAAGAAAATTCACTACTTTGACCTACAAGATGGCGGCCAAGGGGAATAACTCCGAGGCAAAATATGTCATAGGAAAACTATCTATAGATATGTCAAATTTGGAAGGTTCACCCACTTTTTCTTTACATACTTTAACTTCAATATCTCAAGTCCAAAAAAAAGCACAGTATTTTTTTACTTCTCAACAAGTTCAAGAGAACAAGATTTGAAATGAAACTATAAAAAAGGAAACTTCCTACATATAATAAACTTTAAGTTACTCACAGTTGTCGGAGTCTCGGGTCAAAAGTACCTCCTCGCTTCATACTCATTCTCCTAACGTCTATACTGGCTCGACGGGGATCTGACAAACAAAGATGAAGTTAGGCCATCATTTCATAAATTCAAATTCTTAACACTTTAAATTGCTTTGGAAAAGAAGGAAACAAATTCATTTCAAAATGAAAATTAAAAAAAAAAACTAAAAAGGCATTCAAGTCGAATTTAGAATAATATCAACACAAAAACGGGATACTTTCAGCAAAATGTTTATTTAGATTTTTAAAAAGTGACAATCATAGCCAACGGTAACTTGTTAATAATTTTCTATGACCATGAGTAAAACAGATAACCACACTTTAGAGCAATAAATAATGACTTCAATCAGTTGATTCTATGTACCTGCTACAGGGAGGTCCACCAAAGGATCAAATTTGACATACAGTGACATCCGTGACAGGGCCGATTCAGCAATCTGTACAACGAATTCATTCATTAACATCTAGCAAACTTGGGTAAGATTGCAAACTCTAAATGTTGAAGATGATTTTTTTATACCCTACATTGATTGATAATTTATTTACTCTAATGAAGACTAAATCAAATCACTTTGGAACCATCTGTCTGTTTAAAGCATTGCATTTCTTATCTACACAAAAATCATTTAGCTTTCAACATGTTCCATGCCAATAGCTTCTAGAATAAGTATTTTTTTTCTAATCCAGGATACAGTGTTCGAGTCAGAGATGGTTAAAACTCACCCCTTTATTGCTGCCAAACTGTTCCAAGATGTCAAAGTCAGCAGGATCACTAAACACTAAAAAAAATAATTAACATGATTTTAAAAAAAATGTCAATTAAAAAAAAAAATACAATCAGGTCAACAGAAGAAGAAATGGTTACACTGATTTCAATACAAACTACGCTGCATGAATGTGCTAAATAGGTTTAAGGTTTCCATCAGGAAACTTCTCCTTACATGTAGAACTGGCTGGCTTAAAGTCATCATCACTTAATCCAAACTCACTCATATTGGTGAAGGGACAACTCTTCTTGGGGGTCTTTTTCTACAATAAAAGTCATATTGGTTGTCATTTTTTAATATCCTGGTCACCCTTTTTAAACTATTAAATTATTAAAACATGAATTAAATGAAGTAAACAAAACAGTATTTTCTTACTGGGATATATAAAATGCAGTGATTTCAACATACACTGTATCTAAATATGATATTTCATCACAGATTGTGTAGATTGATGTTATAGATCTTTTTTTTTCTTTACAATATTTAATTAATCAGAAAACAAACAAAAATGAATGCATGTATATTTTCTTATATTTAAAAGATCATTTTTTGACTAAAATAAAACTGGGTTTTAAAGAACTCATTTGTAAGGAAAATTGGGTTATAGGGAAACTTTTATGAAACCCAGAGAAGACCTTGCACCTCATACATCACTGTCAAATGTATTATTTATCATTGTGTATTATTGTATTTTTATAGAGGGCCTCAAGGAAGAATAGTGATCACACTAATTGAGTTACTCTCTTTAAATAAAGTATTATTATTATTATATAATTATAAAGAATCTTGCTTATATTTGTTATAAGGAAGCAAAACTGGAAGTCCCTGTGACTTCTTATAATTGTGCTTTACTGTAACATTAACTTACAGCAGAACCAGTGGGTGTCTTGAATGGATCGTTCTGAAGTTTGAAAGAAGCATCCTGCATTTTGTTAGCATTCAGTCCTGAAAATGGACTAACACACGTCTCACTGTCCATCAAAAGCTTCTCAAAATTATTCTTTCCCTGTTTTTCCATGTTTTCTGAGGCTGTTTCCACACTGTCTTTGATGGGTAATTTCTCGACCCCACTCTTCATATCAGAGGGCTCTTTACTTTGTTTGGAAGAGCCATCATCTGGTTTTTTGCACTCTTGGGGTGAATTGGCAATTTTTGAATTTGATGCAAATGGATCCAAATTTTCTAGATTTGTTGCTTTTACTGGGGAGTTTGCAACTTTAGGCTTTGTTGCAAAAGGATTTCCTTCTTCTGTCTTTACTGCAGGAGAATTAGCAACCTTTGATTTACTTACAAAGGGATTAATGTCTTCTTCTGATTTTCCATTTGGTGAAAATGCAACCTTGGACTTAGTTGCAAATGGATCATTTTGTGAAGTAGGGGAGTTTGCAACATTTGACTTGGTTGCAAAAGGGTCAAATTCATCATCTATATTCTTTTGTGCTGGGGAATTAGCAACTTTTGCTTTTGTTGCAAATGGGTCAATGTCTTCATCAGGTAATTTTGCAGGAAAATTGTCAACTTCTGATTTGGTCACACAAGGATCTTTTTCACTTTCTTCAGAGTTCTGTGAAGGAGAGTTTATAACTCTACACTTTGTTGCAAAGGGAACCACATTTTCAGTGAAAGCTTCCTTCAAAGGAGAATTTGCAACTTTAGATACTGTTGCAAAAGGATCAGGCTCCTGCAAAGGTAAACTCTTCTTTTCTGGACTGTTCACAATTTTTGACTTGGATTTAAATGGATCCATCTCATTTTCACATGTGGTTGGTGCTGGAGAATTGACGACTTTAGACTTAGTAGCAAATGGATTAAAATCATCATCACTGAATGCTGGCTTTTCTGGTGAGTTTGAAATATTGGACTGCTTCATCATTGGATCTATGTTTTCATCTCCCTCTCTCTTGGGAGAATTCATAACATTGGCCTTTGTAGCAAACGGATCAATGCTGCCATCAATTTCACTGGAACCTAAATCTTTCTTTTCTTTGATTTGAGACACAGGAGATTGCCTTCCTTTTACTTCACTTGTTAGGACAACATTTAACCCTGCACTTTGTGAGAGAGGTTGTTTGATATTACCAGAATCCAACAGATGATGCTTGTCATTTTCTTCCAGAGAAATTTCGACATTTCTGGACTCAACATGATTCTTCGGAGAATTTGAAGGTACACATGTATCAGGATGATCATCCGAATTTGTTGTCTTTCTGGACACCTCAGGACTGTTCATCAGCTGCTTTTTAGGTTGAAAAGGATCTATGTCTTCAAAACTTTGACTGAAGATATCTTCCGACTGCTCAGCAACGATGGACTCCAACACTAATTCTTTTTTCTTTTCTTTAATTGCTGGAGATTCAATCAGTCTAATGAATGGATTGTCCTTCACACTCTGAAACTCAGAGAGGGAAGTATTGCCTTCCTTTCTTTCATCATTCTCTTCCACTTCCTTTTCATCAGCTTTGGGAGAATTCTGCACTATGCCACTAGCAGATGTCACTGGAGAATTCTGAACTGCCACCTTGGTGGCAAATGGATTGATGTCGTCCAGTTTGTCAAAGTCAATATTATAGCTGCCCTTACTGATCGGCAGTGTTGGAGATGAGGATTCCTGGGTTACAGGTTTCTCCTTTTCCTGCACTTCCTCTGATTTTCCTTTCTTTTCCTCCATTGATTCAGGACTACCTTTCCTCTTATCCTCCTCTTTTGACTGAAAAGCTTCCTCTGGGTTGTCGTCTTCCCTAACATTTTTCATCCCCATTTCACTGACAGCAGCTTCTTTTCCATTAGCATTTGTCAAATCCTGCACTTTTCTACTTGCAAGTGGCAAAGGTGAATTCTGCACTGTCATTTTGGTGGCAAAAGGATTGACATCCTCTAGGTTATCAAAGTCAATGTTGTAACTCCCCTTACTGGCTGGGAGTGGAGGAGATGAGGGCTCCTTGGAACTGTTCTCTGTCTCCGTCTCCTCTGCTTTTTCTGATACATCTCCTAATTTTTCTGTCTGTTCCTCCACTGGTTGAGGACCACCTCCCATCTTTGACTCCTCATCTGGCTGAGCCATGTCCTCTATGTTGTCCTTTTTTGGGGTAATTTTTTCGATTTCATCAACAGCATCAAAAAAATCATCAGTATCCATGTCCTCTTCCAAACGATCTTTTGATGACTTGCAATTGGGTTGAACAACTTCACTTTCTTCACTGCAAAACAAAAGGCTTTTATAAATACATTCTGGATAGATACATGTACAAGTATATATATATGACCAATAAGGCAAACCATAACGCTGGCAAAATCTCTTATTATGACCTACTGGTCAATTAAGAAAATAACTTAATGCAGTGTCCTGCAATATATCCTCACACCCCTACTGAGTAAATAAACCAGTGTACATTGTATATACAGTAAACATGGTAAACACCATTACTTCTAATGCTAAAACTAAGAAAGTTGAATATACACCCAAATGCATGGCTACTCAAGGTTCTTTCACATGTTTCAGTGATCCAAGTTTTTCTTTTTAGGATTATCTGACTGACACAACTTACAGTGGTAGGTTATTGATGACTTCCATCATAATATCTCGTGCCATCTCGAGATACTCTTGGTGCTGATCCTTGGTGACAATTGAAGTACGCTCGATCCAGTTTTCCTGCTCGTCCAGCATTCGAACCTCCTCAAATCGTGTGGGTGTTGACTTTTTAACATTGTGTGGTGTTTCAAATTTTACCTGCAATATTATCAAAATATACATGCAGTTTCTATAAAATTTTAAACATAAAATGAAACAATTAAGCATAATTCTACAATACTTCATTTAGTATCTTCAAATTTCATTTATTACAAGACAACTAAATTATACATTAAAAGGTCATGTATATTCATATTTTGTGAAAGAATTTTTATTATATAATCTTTATAAAATTTATCAATATGCTTTATGATTATCTTTAATCATTTTTTCATTCCTAATGTGCGTTTTACTTTTATTTCCTTTTATTAATCGTGAAGTGACTGTGACATGACACGAATCTGCATTTTTTCAAAAATACAAATGTCCAAGTAGAAAAGTATATGATGCATTTAATGTACATGACAGCTTTGGAATTTTTTTTTTAATCTCTTATCAAATTGCTGTTTTTACCCCCTTACCTTTAGTCCTTTGTGTATAGGTGTACAAAGTTGAATAAGGTTATCTTGTTGTGAAGGCTTTAGGATAGATTTCTTGACGACTTGTGGAGTCTGCATCAACATGGGGGGCCTCAGGTCCTCCAGACAAGAATTCTCACTGTTCTCATTCAGGGAAAACTCCATCAAATTTTCATCCATTGTTTATATCTAACAGAAAATGAAATTTCTTTTAAATAACATACATGTACATGTATTTATAACTGACATATTTTACAAACCACATGAAGAGACACAAACGAAAATGGTAAACACATGGTAACATAAGCTTCATTCACAGTTCACTATAATTAATAACTACATTATGACAATGAGGTAAACTTGGTACTTCAAAGTGTGTGTGTATTTTTTTTTGTACCAAACATGTCATTATAGTGTCATCACAACCAGGGTTCGAAATTCACTATATACAACTCGCAAAACGCAAGTTAGAATTCCCAAATTGCGAGTTAAAAATTAGGTAACTCGCAAAAATTTGCGAGTTGATTTTTTTGGATTGAAACTGTAGCAAAATTATATAATATGACAGAACACAATGCTCTTGATTTAAATCAGTATTTTAACTAAAAGTCACACTGTAGTTGTATTTTGTGTATTGTACAGTAGTTACTTTTTCCTTAAGTTACATGTATTTAATTTATATAAATTTAACTTTATATGAAAATTGCGAGTAGTCTTATAAAATTGCGAGTTCACCTTCTTGGTACTCGCAATTATTTGCGAGTTGTAATTTTAGGGAGTTTCTAACCCTGACAACATGACACAATATTGAAATACCTAAATGTTATGAGTATAGAAATTATTATCATGATTATAGATTAAGTTTTATCCACAGCTCCACAAGCAATTGGTGCCTTGTATTCAAGGAACACACAGGACTGAACTAAATTTCTGTCAGACCAAAAAACCTCATATAAGAAAGTGAAACATATTAAATAGGCAGAACCAAGGAAATGTAATAAATATTTGAATACTTGGGAAGGTCAATGCAGCTTTAATTATCCTACTTTGTGTACTTTGATTTTGTGCAATATTTTTCATAAAACAAATGTTTTTATGACTCTTTGTCCAACTAAAAAACCGGACACTGAGACATTGGACATTCTCGCCCAGTGTACAAAATGAAGCGTTGTACCTGAGGCACTATACATTTGGTCAAATCCAACAGTGCAATGTCTTTGAATTTGCTTAGACTGTGATCACAGGAATACACACTCCAGGTCCAAGGATGTTTTTTTATTTGTATTCTTTCATAAATTATTCTTCAAGCACACATTTACAATGTACATGATGTATTCCATTTGGAAATTACAAAAAATAATATAGCCATTACATTACATATTATCAAGCTTTTGAAAGCCTTTAAATGCAAATATATTTGAATCACATCTTTTATTTTGTTTACGTTTTATGCATTGTTGCTCATAAAGCAATCCTAAATAAACGTCATTAATATAGGGGGTGATAATTTTGTAGGTCTAATAATGAGCAAGTTTCAAGATTATCTCCCTTGGTGCGCTCTTTCATTACGGAGGGTTTTTTGTTTTAATGTAAACAATCATGTGGGACAATTATTTATATTGGATACGTTACAACATCAAAATGACGGTCTATCACAACTGATTTTAGGTATTCACTCTTCAACTCAAAATTACCATGATCTTGAAACTTGTGCATTGGTTATAATTTTTTTGTAAACAGGAGGCTGAGGCCTAGAGTGGAACATATAACAGAACCTATGAGTTCTTTATTCATTTTATTTTTCAGATGAAATGTCATTTGTTTAATGTCCCTTCTGAAAATTTTTCACTCAAATAGAGATGCCACCACTTGCCGGTAGACAGTCAGGGGTGAGACTGAAATCTGTCATTTTTAAAATGACGATTTCTAGTCATAAAATAAAATTTTTATTATGACTAAAACTCGTCATTTTTAAGAAAACGACGAAAAACAGTCATAAAAATTTAGAGTGTTTTTAGAATACCAGGTTACCTCTCTAAAAAATGTTAGATCCACCAACCGAAAAAAAGGACAAAAAACATTGTAAACAAACTTCTTTTCTCAAATACAGTTGACTACAACATGTACAATACTGGTTATGTTGACAGTACATATTTCCCAAGCAAAAATAAGAGTGGAAGAGTTATTTGTCAATTTATTTGCATAAAATAGCAAAGAAGACAAAAATGACAATATTTCGTCTTTTAACCAAAATGGAGGGTCTGGGCGCACTGAAATATCCCTCGTTTTACGGGGCGCACTACTGTTTCATGGTTTTAACTTTTTGTCAAGACTTTTCTCTACAAGTACGTACTCTTACAGATTGTGAACTAAATGTTTTTATAGGGTTAAAAGCCATGTAAAAGTGGGGAATTAGTTCTACCAAAATTCGACATTTTACCGCTAAAATAATAACTTTCACCTTCCATGCTGATGTTCTAACGCATGTGGTCGGCAGTAATTAGTGACCTGGATGAAATGAAACTCGCATAAACACTCTTCTTTTAGCGGTGAATTCAAAATTCCCTTTTATGTAACCAGGATAGAAGAATTAAGTTGAAAATGAAAATATGATGATAGTAAGTCATATTTACAAAAATGACGAAAATAGGTAGTAAGTAAACATGACGATTATCCATCATTTTTCAGAATGACCGATTTCAGTCTCACCCCTGACTGGTAGAGGGCTGCAAATTTTAGACCTATACTCGGCACTGAGGGCCCTCAAGCAGTAATGGATCTTTTTCAAAGTCAGCACCTATTGCAATACGGAACCTCGGTTTATAGTCTCATCCAAAAGACCTGGCCCCGGGATCATGAAAGGTCTTAAGATTAAGTCAAAATCTTTATGTTGTACTAAAATGTTGTAGAAGTCAGGCAGAACAAAATTAAAATATTTTTCAATATTGCTTTACAAAAGTGTTTTTATCTGCAAATTTAGATCTTAATTCAATAATTAATAAACATTTTACAGGCAATTGAAAATTTGACTTAAGTCTAAGTCTGTTTCATGACCCTGGGGCCAGTCTTCACGTCTTGCAGTGGGATTCGAACCCCCAACATAAGGATTAACTACTGCAAATAATGCTCTAACCACTGCGCCACTCAGACAGAAACATGATTTTAAATACAAAATGAGCATAAGGCTTATTAAAAAGGGTTTTGTTGTCTGATTTTGTTTTTCTAACCAGGTCCAGTACAATCTCTTTATTTAGCTATATAGCTTGAAATAGCTATATAGCTTTATTAAGTTATTCAAAATAGCTTGATTTAGCTATTTATATGCAGTTTTTCACAAAAAATTTTTTTGTATAAAATAGACAAAAAGTCGCATGTATTTGACTATTCATATATGTTCTATGGGCTATCAAAACAACAACCAAAATCAAAGATAGTTTTATCTTTGAAGCTTTTGAATACTTTTAAGCAAAAGATAAATTTCTATTGTTTGAGTAACTGTCCACTACCTTGTGTGCGTTGAGGCATGGATAAGTATGATTGCTTCTCATTGTACTGAATTATTACCAATCAATTATCTTGTTGAGCATAATTGGCCTCCTTTATAATTTCATTGAAGAAGTAACTGTATCAATTGTGTTATATAGCCCCAAAACTCTTAGAACTTTGAGTACAAAGTCTCTCAAGGAGACACAATTTAATGAGTGATTTTTACATGCATCAATTTCAGAAGAGTTCAAGGTTGCAGGGATCAACATTAACGGTTGTCCGATTGCCCGGGACAAGTAAATTATCAGTTCGGGCAAGTGAAAATGTCAACATACTTGTCCGACCGGGCAAGTGAATTTTTTGCATACAAATGTATATATTTATTAGTTTACATTAATTTATAGATACAACAATAAATTGAACACTTGATTTCCGCAACGTACCTGACTGACCATGTTTTTGCATTCGGAATTCCTTGCTAGCGTTTCTAGATTATATCGTTCATTTAAAAATCGGGCTCGTTATTTTCTTTCTTAGTAAATACGCTCTACGTCTAACAAAATTTTGTTAACTTCTTACTAGGAAATTAAATTATTTATTCACGCACAGATTATAAGTACAGTGTAACACAATGTATCCTAATCAAGATAAAATGTTTGTTTCGTAGCAATTATCTTTCTTTAGCTTTGCTTCACAGTTATTTCTGAAAATCACGATTCACAAAAGGATCCTACGGAAAATAATTTTTAAGAATAAATATGAATTTTATAAAATGGAAACGGAGGGTTATTGCTGCATGGCAGTGTGTGTTAACAGGTTAAATTTACAAGTTCAGTGGTATACATTTATTAACAAATGCATCATCGAATTTTTTTCAGGTAGCTCAACTTGCTAAATTGATAGTAGTGTATTTGGTCACATTTTTTTCTTATCATAACGTTTACAGTAATAAATAATGTTCAGTTCTTTCCTAATTTTGGGCAACCAAGGCTTGCGTTCGGACAAGTCAAAGTTTGAGTTCACCTGCCCGAAGGGCAAGTGAATCTGAAAGTTAATGTCTATCCCTGAGTTGAATATCATCACTGCACCAAGGTGCGACTTTTTGTACCTGCTGAGGAAATTACACATTTAAGAAAAAAGTGTGACAAAATAGCTAAATTAAGCTATTCTGAATAGCTTAATAAAGCTATATAGCTAAATAAAGCTATATAGCTAAATGAAGAGATTGTACTGGACCTGCTTGATTTTAACATGTAACATAATAAAATAAACAACATTCTGTATTTTCCCCATCATTATGATCATCACGACTATCAAAAACCTGATCCTTGTTTGCATGACCTAAAAACAAAAAGAAATCTGTACCTTCCCATCATTATCATGATTACGACTGTCAAAAGCCTTTTTATCCTTGTTTTGCATGGCCTACTCTGTTGGTTTAGCATATCCGATAAACATGATAAAATTGATGTGATCATGAATCAAAATGAGACGCTTTTGGTCGAGTATTTTAATTGTCTTGAGCTTTTCATATCGACATTTTCCTTCCCAAAAACCGATGATTAGGCTTATTTGTTTACCAACACTTAGTCACTTACCAATTTTTATTATGGTTTACCCGCTAGATATTTGAAATCCGACAGGAAAGTATACAATGAGCATGCGCAAAAAAAGAAAAAACTGTACGAATAGATATTTTATTTCCGGCATAATGCTAAAATCTTTTGCATGCATAATAAAAATGAAAACATCGGATTACATCAAAAATTAAAATGTTATCTACAACGACATATCAGTGTCATTTCAGTTTTGCAGAATAAAGTAAAATAAAATCGTTTGTACAATTTAGAAATTCGTTTGAATTTTTTTTTAATCGTTTGAACGATTTAAAAATGTACGATTTTTTTTAATTGTTTGAACGATTTAGACATTCGTTCGTAAGATTTAGAAATTCATTTGAAGGATTTTCAAAATTCGTTTGAAGGATTTTTTTTTAAATCGTTTGAAGGATTTCAAAATTCCTTTGTAAGATTTACAAATTAATTCGTTTGTACGATTTTTCAAAATCTTTTGTTTATCAACATGATTAATTATCATTATTTAAACAAAATTGTATTTATATTAATTAATAAATTGTCATTATCACTGAATATAAGTCCCCTTTTTTCCCTAGTAATTCTTTTCTTTTGATTTAGTATAGGAATTTCATTGAAAGACCAAGTAAAAGTCATGTAAATAATAAGCTGATTTTGCAAGATGGAGAATTTTGCTCTACAGGCCTACACATCTGCATTAATTAGTGTTAAGTATGATTATTTATTCTTCTCTTGAAAATGTGTTCAAAACATTTACTTCAGTGTCCAGACACAGAGCATTTTTTTAAGTGGGAAGGGGGCTGGAAGTCAGAAAATATAATGGACAAGCAAACAGAAAGAGTCTCCGAAAAAAAAAAAATAACACGCAAAAAGAATAAAAGAGGGCCTGACAAACTCAACAATCCTATTCCGGGGGGGGGGGATTAGGAAGCAACTTCTTTCTACAAAAATGTTTTTTGATACATTAACGTGTGGCCTTTTTTCCGTACTGTAATAAAAAAGGGGGGAGGGGAGGTGGAGCAACCATTTCTTTCGTGTTTTAGATAGGTTTGATGATGATGTTGTTGTTGGACTGTAATTTCTTTGAGGTACAAAACTGCAAGTGTTGACAATAGTACCAAAAATAAATTTTTAAAAAATCAGAACAACCAATAAAAAAAAAAGACAAAACAAAAAATAAAAAAAAAAAAACAAAACAAAACAAACAAACAATAATAAAAATTTGTACATGTAATGCAATGGAAACCAGTCTATCTTGTTGCAAAATGTATTTCACTCACAACATTTGAATACCTATAGTTAATATAATAATGACTATATTCTAGCCGCTCTGATTTTCATATTACATGCATTTCATATTTGAGAAGGTTTGTTCCCCGAACGTCTACTGAACAAAACCAACATCTATAATTATCACACTCAATTAAGGGGTTCAGGTAGAGTTTACCTTTATGAACTATCTATACCTGCATTTATTGAAGGAGGAATTCTACAGCAATTTAACATTTTATTTTTTTTATATATATATCTTTTGAAACATGGTTTCAGCATGGAAAGATTGATAAAAGATTTTTTTTCAGAGGAATTAATGTAAAAATCTTGAAGATTTTATCCATTGGTTTGGTAAAATATTTGTCATTCATCTGGTTGTCTGTCATCAATTTTTAGGTACCTGAGTCACTCAGGTGACCTTTTGCTATCTTTTTTCGTCCGTCATCGTGCGGGTGTGCATAATGCGTAAACTTTTCACATTTTCAACTTCTCAAGAATCACTGAGCCAATTTCAACCAAACTTGCCGCAAAGTATCCTTTGGTAATGGTGAAACATCTTCAGAAAGTGTAGCTTCAATTTTGTTCATATCATGACCCCTGAGTTTAGGGTGGGGCCACAATGGACGATCAAAGTTTTACACAGGAATATATAGGAAAAATCTTTTTGGTAAGAACATCAAAGCCATGATTGGTCATATTTATATGGAAGCATCTTCAGGTAATGTAGATTTAAGTTTGTTCAAATCATGATCCCCATGAGTGGGGTGGGGCCACAATGGACGATCAAAGTTTTACATAAGACTACATATATAGGAAAATCTTTAAACATCTTCTTCTCCAGAACCACAGGGCCAAGAAAGATGAAACTTTTATGGAAGCATCATGGGGTAGTGTAGATTCAATTTTGTTTAAATCATGACCCCCGGGGTAGGGTGGGGCCACAAAACATCTTCTTCTCTAGAACCACTGGGCCAAGAAAGATGAAACTTGTGTGCAAACATCCTCGGGTAGTTTAGATTGAAATTAGCCCCCCTGGGGTAGGGCGGGGCCACAATGACTGATCAAAATTTTGCATGGAAATACATTGGAAAAATCTTCTCCAGAACAGCTGAGCCAAGAAAGATGACATCTTCAGGTAGTGTAGATTCAAGTTTATTTAAATCATGATCCTCGGGGGTAAGGTGGGGCCACAATAGACAATGAAAGTTTTACATTGGAATACGATGGATGATCAAAGATTTCTACTTGTCTACATGTCTTATTTATATGGAAGCATCTCTGGGTAATGTTAATTCAAATTTGTTCAAATCTGGGGTACGGAGGGGACAAAACAGGTGATCAAGTCAGGATCAAGGAAATATAGGAAATATAGATCATTTAAAAATCTTCTTTAAAATAACCAAACCATGATAAGTCATTTTAATAAAATATAATTTTGGTTAATGTAACACTTCATTTGATTGGATAAAAAATTAATTTATGTTGTGTTACCCAACTTGTTTTTGCAGCTTTCAATTTATATTCTATGGATCCTCTATGGATTGTGTTTTATTCTCAGGTGATCATTAAGGCCTTTGGGCCTCTTGTTCAAAATGCAATTTTTATCCAATTTTGATTAGATTCAGCACAACAGTAAACTACATTAAATAAGATGCATACTTCTCTTATTTCTGTTTTTGATTTCAACAAAATAATGAAAAGAATCATATAATGATATTTTCAAAATTATTAAGCATGATTTTTTTTTTCTGAATACTTTTTAGCTCACCTGAGCTGAAAGCTCAATAGAGCTTTTCTGATCACTTAGTGTACAGTGTTAGTCTGTCTGTCTCTCCGTCTAGCTGTCCGTCCATCTGTAAACTAAAAAGGGTGGGACCACAATAGGGAATCAAAGTTTTACATTGAAATATATAAAGGGAAAATCTTCAAAAATCTTCTTCACAAGAACCACTGGAACAGAAAAGCTGAAACTTATATGAGAGCATCCTTGGGTAATGTAGATTCAAAATTTTTAAATCATGGCCCAGGGGATAGGATGGGACCACATTAGGGAATCAAAATTGAAATACTATAGGAAAAATCATTAAAAATCTTCTCAAGGACCACTGGGACAGAAAAGCTGAAACTTCTATGAGAGCATCCTTGCGTAGTGTAGTTTCTAACTTTGGAAGTTTTATTCTCTATCAGAATATTTATCTACTCTCCATCTATCTTGTAATAGGCCATGGAGTATAATTTACAACACCCTTCGTTATGGAAAGGAAAATCAAGAGTTTTATCGTATTTGTGATATTTATCACATCGTGAAACAATATTATTTTAATAATTATCCTTTAACACTGTGACAGGATATCAATAAATTACAGAAGTTCACTGCTGAAAATGTACAGAAAAGAACCATATGATAGCTGCCTTACCGACGACACGGCCGACTCAAAAATTTAATTGGAAATCACCTGTTTCTATTTATAGATATATATGTACCTTTTCAATTCAAATTCAATTAAACTGCATGTATGTATGTAATCATTTGTGGGCAACTGTTGCAAGTATATATGTTACATGACAATCATTTTACTTTTACAATAATCTTAATCTGAGACAAAATATTTACAAAATCAATAAAAATAAAACAAGTAGTACACCAATGAATTTAAATTAATGAATAGTTTAGGACTGTCTTTTCCCGAGATACCTTCAAGGTGTAATGTGCATATTATAAATTTCTAAAATTATGTATATTATAAAAAATAATAAAGAGAAACGTAGAATATTCAGAAAGAAAAAAAAATTAAAAGTGTTAACAAAAAACGCGGGGGCTCGAACTCCCAATCACCACATTTACATTCCAGCATTCATACCACTGCGCCACGAATTCATTGATAGCGTATGGATAAGTTTAAGACAGATTGCTAAATCTTAAAATAACATGAGAAGAAAAGTTGAATACATATTTTCATTATTTTCAATATGAAGACCACCTTTAACCAAAATTATCTAAATGAATGAAATATATGGAGATAACAAACAGTATTCAAGCTCAAAAGTCCATTATACAATACAAAATAGGAGCAGAGCAAACACGGACCTCCAAACATCAGAGGTGGGATCAGGTGCCATGGAGGAGTGAGCATCCCCTGCCGACCGGTCACACCCGCCGTGTGCTCCTTGTCATGATCGGGAAATAACGGAAAAATCCGTCGACAATTCAGTGTGAAAATAATGGCCTAACAATTAGTATGAAAAACGTCAGTCAGCATTTGACTCAATGATAAATTGTATTTGCTGACAAGGTCATTGTATCGACCAAAGAACTTACGAAATGATGACTTTAAACGAGACAGCTGATATTCTTGTTTCATCAACTTATTTGTCAATAATTTACCTCGTTTTAGAAATTGTACATACGTAGAGCATGCTCTTACGTATCGAATCAACTGAGAGATATATACCCCGTATGCAGGTGATGAAGGTATATTGCTGCATAAGTAAGGGAAGTTGACGATTGAAAAGTTAAAGTCATCACGTTTATCATAAAGCTTGGTTGTTAGATTACCATTAACGTCTTTTTCAAGTAAAATATCCAAATATGAAACAGATGTGTCAGACTCTGTGGTATCTTTTATCTCAAGTTCACCAGGATATATCGTATCGACATAAGAATGAAAATAGCCATTGTTGATTGACAATACGTCGTTGATATATCTAAATGTCGAGTTGAACGCCACAGCAAGTGTTTTCTTCTTTTCACGTACAAGATTTTGGACAAATTCTGCTTCATATGAATACAAAA